GTGGAACCCTGACAGGGATGAAATGCCAAGTCCCTTCTTGATCAGAAACAGATATACAGGGGCTGCAGGGCGTTCGAGATAATTTGATTTCGGGTTGCATTTGGTGTTTGTTCTATGCGGGTATGAAGGGGCTATGGGGAAACAAAATTGGCAATCAAGTGGTGGTCATGATAACGAAACACACGCTATGACTAGCTTTCTTTTGTTTTTTTGTAAACATGGCTCGCGAGGAGTGATTTGGCATATCATGGTTTAGTTTGGCGATTGAAGTGGTATACTGATTTGGCGTTGGGATTTCTGGGGATGACTTATTTTTTCTACATAGTTTTTTGTACTGTATCAAGTGCACAGGATGTTAGTACTACGCTCGGTCGGATTGGTTGGGTGGGGTAAGATTGAATTGGGATTGGATAATGATTGGGTACTTGAGTTGGTCCTTTTAGGGCCGGGGAAGGAGATGAGCGAAGGGAGAGAAAGGGGAAGAGAATCATATACATGAAATAGATAGTATAGGTCTTCGGGTATGCAGGTTCCACAAATATTATACATGTAACATATGAAAATTGTCGCAAGAAGACCAGTATGTGATTGTCCCTGCTGTAGAGGCCCCTTTGCTTTCCTCGCCTAAGTAAAGCCCCACTAATTTTTTTCTTTTTGATATAGGTATGAATTCAAATGCGCTATATACGATGATTTACCCGAGTTCGAGTAGCTGAAGTGCTGATTTATGTGGAAAAACAATTGCAATTTGCTCGTTTCTGGCTCATCCCGGACTCTGGTATGATTCCGTGGATTCTTGGTCGGTAGGTAGGTAGGGAGGTAGGTAGGTAGGTAGATAGGGAGGGAGGTAGGGAGGTATTACTGTCTTTTTACAATAGTCGATTGTTTATTGTTTATTGTGATGGATATAGGTATTAGGTATAATATTCTAGTCTTTTGAAATTGAGATTGAGATTGAGATTGAGATTGAGGTTTGAAATGCGGTGTAGTGTATATGAGGGGTAGATGTAATGGGCTGGGTAGTATGTGTTCTTATATGTGTATATTTATATATATATGTTTTTATATATATGTTTTTATATATATGTTTTTATATACATGTTTTTGTATACATGTTTTTGGTATATATGTTTTTATATACATGTTTTTGTATACATGTTTTTGTATATTATGTTTTTATATGTGTGTTTTGTATGTGTATTTATATGTGTGTTTTTGTATGTGTATTTATATATATATATGTATTTTGTGTTTTTGTATTGGGGGTGGGCTTCGAAATTGAGTTTTCTGTAGATGTGTGTTAATTGTATATTGTGATTGGGTGGTTGAGTGTATGGGAGAGAGGGAGAGAGGGAGAGAGGGAGAGAGGGAGAGAGGAGAGAGGGAGAGAGGGAGAGAGGGAGAGAGGGAGAGAGGGAGAGAGGGAGAGAGGGAGAGAGGGAGAGAGGGAGAGAGGGAGAGGGGCTGCAGTATAGTTACTGGTGGGCGTGGGGTCAAGTGATATGAAGTGTAGGGAAGTAGAGGGGAGTATGAGGGGAGTATAGTATGATTTGGTGTGTTTTTGTATAGTATATTCTCGTAGGGCGGGGTATAGTCTGATGTGAAATTTTGATTGAAGTTTGAAATGAATATCAATATCAACATCAAACTATCTTTTACTTTTTGGATATAAATATATATCTAGATACCTAGATAGGTATCTAGATAGGATTAGATCTTATCTGAATAATTTCTCTCAATAATTTCTCTCAATAATTTATACAAAGTGAGATAGACATACGAGTTAGATGAGCTGTAATCTTAAATTGTTAATTATAGATTACTGATTTCTAAAGCTATCAAGTTAATAAATATAAAGTATAAATATAGAATATAGAATATAAAATGCGAAATATAGAATATAAATATGGAATGCGAAATATAAAGTATAAAATGTAAATGTAAATGTAAAGTGTGAAGTCAAATACAAAATATAATGTCAAATATAACATAAAATAAATTAAGGTATAGTAACCATCGAATCATTTCCTCCTTTTCTTTTCGAAATACTAAATACATCGATATCAAAAACCGATATTCGCTATTCCACATTCGCCATTCGCGATTCAACATTCAACATTCAACATTCATAACAATCAAGAGTACAAATCAACATTCCAGAAATAAAGATCAAAGAGGTAGAGATATTGTAAGAAGAAGTATCATTCGGTAGAGCAGAGCAGACCAAATTCGCAGAGATTAGAAAACCAATATAATTTTCATTTACTAAAGTGGTTGGATATATAGAGGAGCGATACTGCTAATGTATTTATTTCTCTTCTTCTTTCTTTATTATACTACCTAAAATTCAATATTATCAAGAGCAAGCATGCACAATGAAATCAAAACGTATCCGAATTGTTCGCGACTCATGTGTATATGATCCGCCTATCTGAACCACTCATTATTTTTTTTAAATCCATCCTCCTATGCAGCTCAGCCAGATCATATTATAAGCGAAAGCCATAATTGCAAATATCTCCGTAACCATTATTCACCGTCCCAAGGTATAAGCCATAGCCACCGACCGTATTTACCAAAATTCTCAACCATAATTACCACTGTCAACTCAATGACATCCATTTATTACGTTGTCATATCTATGTCTTCGTGTATCCGTGATCGTATTCGTAATCGTGTCCATGTCCGTGTCTCGCTGCGCAATTATAGACGTACGCCATAATGTGAACCGTCGGTCTTACTCATTATTCACAGCAGCCTCTCTCTCCTTGTCCATCATTCCAGTTCTCAATTCGCTTCCGGAACCTCTACCGCCTCTATACAATCTTCGAGCTTGATGGAAACCTCGGTCTCCTCTTCCACTCTGGAACCCACCTCGTCCTTGGTCCCCAGGACCAGATCTTCTACCCATCCATCTATCTCCACCATGTGGTCTATATGGTGGTCTACCTCTGCCACCACCTCTACCACCTCCCCCACCTCTACCTCTATTGATCTTAAAGTCAATTCTCTTTAATGGATTCGTCACCATCTCAGTATCTGCAATTCCCAACTCTTCTTTCTTCTCTTGGTCGTTGATAGTCCAAGCCTGGAATATTTGACCTAGTTCATCCACGCCGCGTAACTCATCAACCCAAGCCAGAACATATTCAGCCTTGGGGTCGTAATCAAAAGCTTGTTTGACAGGGTTGAAAATCCGATCATTGCCTCGAGGATCATTCCCAACCCCGGCAACGTATTGCCAATTACCCCAATTTGAGCTAACATCATAATCAACCAACATAGATTCGTACCACTCGGCGCCAATTCTCCAATCAATGTAAAGATGTTTCGCGAGGAATGAAGCGACATTTTGACGAGCGCGGTTGCTGGTATAACCCGTATGATAACATTCTCTCTGAGAAGCATCAATGAATCCCATTCCAGTTGTACCGTTAAGAAATCTCTCAATAATCTCTTGTATTTGCTCTTTTGTAACACCATCTCTTGGTGAATCTAGCCGACTCCACTTTGAATGGGCATTTTCTTCCTCCTTAAATCCACCCAATTGGAAAAGCTTTGGTCCAAATTTACGAGTGCAGAGACGCATGTAATCTCTCCAGAGAAGTTCGAATCGTACACCATAAGTGCCTTCATTTTCACCCTTGCCATACCCCTCGAGATCTTTGTACCGATTGTCAGAATCGGAACCATTCTCAAAGAGAGACATGGAAGAATGAATCTGACGTGAGGTAATTGAACCAAGAGCAAGGTATGCTGAGAGTTTTGTAGAGAAATCAGTACCCATAAGCCCATTGCGACTAGATTTATAAGCGTTAATGGAGCCAGAAGTAATCAAATGGTCGAGTCGTTCCAGCGCATGAGATTCACCACCTGTAAAAGGATGTACCGATAGTGAATTCTCCGGGTAGGATGGAGGATTTTTGATTAGAGGTTGCGCATTGATTGGCTTGAGAAGTGCACTCTCGATCTCCTCGTAACTTGTCGGAATCGTGAATGGAGCATGTTGGGGTGGAACATCAGTAGGGAAGGGTGGCAATGAATTCTTCTCAGGTTTTGGTAAAGTTGGACGAGGCGCTTCGCGAAGGGGTTCAACACTCTTGCGATAAGTCGTATACACATCGGGAAGATCTTTTGGATCCTCAAATGGAATATCTCGACTAAATTTAAATCAGTAAATTTTGGGGGGGTTGAAATGGATGATGGGTGTGAAAACATACTCATCAATTAAATATTTCTCATCTCGCCACAATTTGAAGTCAACACCGGCCTCATCGCATAGGTTCTTTGTTGAGCGCTCTTCTCGTTTCTCTTCTACTCCTTCCTCGGAAGTCATCCACACTGCAGAAACCTTGCTGCCGCCTGTTTTTTCAAATCCTTCAATTAAATCTTTCACCACTTCATCGACCATACCCACCCGGATAGCCAATCCACTCCCAATCTTCTCGAGACCACCCTTCAGATCCCACACACTTTCCGCTAGGAACTTCGCTCTGTGGGGACCACATCTCCAGAATGCGCCGATTTGACTTCTGGCCTCTGGGTAAGGACTCTTACTTCCATCTTGGGTGATAAATCCAGAGACTTCGATTTGTTGTGCGGCAAAAACATAGAGTGGGAGAAGATGTGTGAATCCATGATCCTTGTTATCAATGAGAGAATGAAGGATAGGGTTATCGCCCACTCGCAGGTCCCGGCGCATGAGATAAATCAAGACGTTGGAATGCGACATCTTTGCAATTGTGGCAATTCGTTGATGTCTTTGTTTGAGAGAGATGGAAGAGGTAGTCAAAACAAGAATTGATTTAGTAGTGGAACAGAGGCGAATCATGGAAAGATCCGGGGAGAAGGGCCGCCCAGTAGTATGAGATCAGAAAGATTCACCCCACCGGTCCTGACTCAAGGACAAATCAAGCGTTTGGGATATGTCTTGCAGAAGCTCTAGGGCAGTAGTGGGGTTTTCTGATGGAGATTGAATTTTTGACGGACCAAAGTTTAAAATGTCGACGAGAAGTCGTGAAAGCAGTGATTCTACTCGGATAGAACAGAGTCAAGAGTATCAGTCGCAGTGGGAAAGAGTAAGACAATGGAGTGAATTGCAAGTTGGAAGAGGGAGAAGTAGGCTGGTCTGGGAGGGAAAAGGAGGATGGATGGATGGAGAAGAAAGGTCAACCGAGACCGAATGTGAGACTTGATTGGATCTCGCCGAAGATGAGATGAAATGAATGATCCGTCAATCAAAATCAACCAACGGACAATGATTTGGAATGAAAGGGAAGTATCAAGTAATGAATGAATAATAGTTTTTCAGGACAATTCCAATCACATCAAATCAATCCACCATACCATGATAAATCTGGGATAGGTAGGTTAAGAAGTATCGAGAACTGTCTGTGTCAATCAAAGTTCATGGAAACAAGAAGAAAATGGTGAAAGTAAGAGAAGAAAGTTGGTTAGGTTTTCAGTTTTTGAAGCACCGGCACGGTACCTAGTACTCTATTTACGGGTAGTTATTTTGGATCAACTCATCTGGACCCGATTCGATTGGAATTTTTTCTTCTTCTGGAGAACATTTATTGGGTCGAAATTGCTTGGGTGAGTTGGAGGAGAAGGGAGAATATGGAAGTGGTAAATGTCGTGTACCCCGTAGGTGGTGTAGTGTCGTGTCGTGTTGAAGTTGATGTTGTGTTGACGCATGCATATGTTGCTGAACCAACGATATATACTTTTGCTTTTGGATGGATTGGTGGATGGATGGATGGATGGATGGATGGATGTATCGATGAAGATGGATGGGATTTGAAGGATTGTTTTGTTTGTACACCCAGAATGAACAATCACATTCATTCATTCATTCATTCAATCATCCATTCATCCACTCATTCATATCCATCCATGGCTTCAATCATTCTTTCCCCCATCACGAACTCTTTCTTTCTTTCTTTCTTTCCTTCAATTCATGATAGAGAGGAAAGTCATAGTACCTAAGTAGTATTAATGACATCTTACCTCTTTTACCTCTTTTACCTCTTTTACCTCTTTTACCTCTTTTGCCTCTTTTGCCTCTTTTGCCTCTTTTTTATCTCATCCGCCACTTAAAATCATCCGATGTTCCTGTGAAAAAGAGGGAGAGTTGCCGTGCATTTGGTGCTAAAATGATCGATGGAGGTTGGTGTTTGCTTGTCAAAAGACGATGCTCAAAGCTATGGTGGTAGTGTTAAGATCGCCCCACTTTATTCATCGTGTGCAGGAACCAGCCTTACCAGATTCGGTTAAATCCGATCCCAGCTTTTTCAATGGAATTCTTGCTGTGATCAATCAAATCACTTGAATGCTGTTGGGGGGGATGCCGCTTGATATTTTGTGGGTGCTGCTTTAGAGATAAGTTTTGTGTTTTTGTTTTCTCATATCACCTGGGAATCTTTATACTCTTCTTTCGTATCAATCTTCACTCTTTTTTATATCAACCTTGACTCTTTTTTTATATCAACCTTCACTCTTTTTTTATATCAACCTCGACTCTTTTCTCTTCAATTACACCCACCTAGATAGATACATACTAAATAAATATATACCAGGTAATCATCAATCAATCTTCTTACACTACTAGCTATTTACCTACCTATCAACTACTTTACTACTCCGTATCTCAGTATCTTACTTCCTACCTAATATATAGATTTACACTATCTTATAATTTCACTACCTCGTAATATATATCAAGACTTCTCATAGATATGCACCGCTTCATAATATACATCAAATATCTTTGGTAAACCTACACCACCTCATAATTCACATCCAGTCGGATCAAGATATCTCTTGCAGATATCCTTCACTACAATTCCCGTACAGTATCTCATCAGATCCATCAGATCCCATCTATCAGATCCCAACCTGTCTTATCTACCCACCTACCCACCCAACATCTTCCCAATCTCTTTCCTTCAATTCCCGATCCATCGAAAAGTACCAATACACACCACCAGATCTAAAGTCGGGACATATACAGAGCCACGATATCTCCATCCCACCATCCCTTACTTGACCAGCTCGGAAAGCGTTCCAACCCAAATCACACTTTTCTCCCACCTACATATCCCTCACTCCTACATGCATCGATGGGCGTTACACCGTACCACCATGATAAACATCGTAAACAGATCACTTGAGCTTTCCCACCATCATGGAAGAATCGATACGAACCCTCAACAATCTCGTTAATCTCTTTCCGAACTCCTACAGATCTGTCCATCCCATTCGGTGAGATATAGGTACCTACTGCTTCCCTAGAGACTGCAAAAGAAGATTCATCCTCAGGTGATCACTCAACATCTGCAAGACGGTGGAGTACAGCATATTCATGCAACACCGTTCCAGATCGTGACATCGGTATCTTGCATTAGTTCGATGTGGAAGCTTTCTCTTAGTCGATGATTTCATTACGGATCAACTTTCATCGGGAACTAGGTTACTACTAGGTAGCTCTTCTCCCAGCTCCTTTCGATTGCTTTTTTTTACGTCAAGGCATGTCAAGACACGTCAATGTATGTTTTTCATACGAGGAGAAAAGAAAAGAAAAGAAAAATGAGTTACCATTTTCTAATCTATGATTCTCATAACTAGTACCTACCTATCCAATTCAACAGAAATGATAGTATGACCGCTTCATTCAGAGTACCTTAATAATTAGTCATCAACTATTGTCGAATTCTACTAGGTATTCATATCGAATCAAGTCATCCAGATTCAAATTATTAGTCATACCATTCACCTACAATGACTCCTCTTCTTCATTACATAGAAATACATCCATCATCTTTCCATCCCGAGTTCCCCTTCATATTCTCATTCATCCCGAAATCCATCCCGACCACCATCCCGAAACTCTACTCTTTCCACTTCACATCACATCACATCACATCATACAATACCTATACATACTAACGTGGTTTATCAGTGCATGGCCCATATCAGTGGGTGGCCCACTTTCACCTTAATTCGACTCCCTCATTTCAATATGCGTTTTATCAATAATCTATGATGAATTTGAATAATAAAGAAGCCCGTATATTACTTGTTATTGTAGCTATTCAGAAAGATAAGAAGCTAAGTATTTGAAAGGTTGCAATATTATATAATATCCCATGATCAATATTACAACATAGAATTGACAGTATGCCTCCTTATATAGAAATTCAACCTAAATCTCAAAATCTCTTGGAATTAGAAAAGGAAATCATTATTCAATATATAATTGATATAGATTTGAGAGGTTTTGTATTTAAATAAAAGGGAGTGAAAGATATAGCAAATCATATTCTTGAATCTCGAAGTACAAAAAGAGTTAGAAAGCTCTAGGCTTATTGATTTATCAAATATCATATAAAACTAAAGATGTATTTTAAATATGTTTATGACTTTCAAAAAGCTCTCTATAAAGATCCTATACTTATTGAAAACTGGTTCCGATTTATATCGAATATGCAAGCGAAATATAGTATTCTCGATTGCGATTTATAGAACTTCGATGAAATAGACTTTATAATAGGAATGATAAATACTAGTATAGTTGTTACTAATACTGAGAAATACAATAGAAATAAAGCTATACAGCCAGGCAATCGAAAATGAGCTACAGCGATCATATACAGCAATAGTGAGGGGGATACTATACCTCCATTTCTGATAGTTCAAGGACAGATACATCTTTCCAATTAATATACAGAAACCGATCTTCCTGCAGATTGGGCTATTAAACCTACAAGCAATAGATGGACGAATAATGAAACAGAATTAGAATGGTTTGAAACACTTCGATAAACATACAAGAAATCGAATTAAGGACAAATACAGAATGCTAATGCTGGATAAGTATGAAAGCTATGAATCAATACTATTCCAGAACTATTACAAAAAGAATAATATTAAATATATATGTTTACCACCATATTCAAATTATTTAACCTAGCCTCTTAATATTGAATGCTTTAATATCTTAAAACAAAAATATGGTATACAAATTAAAGGGTTTATAAAAACATATATCAATTATATTTCAAAGATCAAATTCTTTATAGCTTTCAAAACTATATATCAACAATCAATTACAAATCAGAATATAAAATCAGAATTTCGAGAAACAGGATTAGTTTTATTCGATTCTGAAATAATACTTTCTAAGTTAGATATTCGAATCCATACATTTACTTCTCCTCCTCCCAATTTAGAATCTTGGACCTCTCAAACACCTCACAATCCTACAAAAGTGCTCTTTCAATCAACACTAATTAAATCTTGAATAACTCATTATCAATTAAACTCTCCTATACCTTTATTTAAAACTATACTAGCTTTAGCTAAAAATATAAAAAGATTAGCATATAAGAATACACTTTTAAATATAAAGATTCGTACATTTTGAAAGATAAATGAAACATTAATAAACATCGATATACAAAAAAAACCTAATTACATTAAGAAGAAATACTTATTGAACAGGAAACTACAGATATATTATTTTAACAAAAGATTGATATCTAAATTCAATACAATAAACATCAAAATAAAGGAAATTCCAATATAAAGATATTCTCTAATCAATACTATAACAAGTGTGGAAAAACAAATTATAATACAAAAACCTGTAAAAATGATATAATAGATTCTAGATTATTAGATTTATAATAGCTTTAATCAATTGATTCAAAGATTATTAAGAAATATGAATTTGAAAATGTAAATTGAGGTGAAAGTGGACCATCCACTGATATGGGCCACGCACTGATAAACCACGTTACATACCTTCAAAAAAATACCAATATCTTCAACCCCTCCATAGGTTAGTGGAGAAAAACCACTCCAAAAAGTCTAATGAAATGAAATGATCTTCACCCAGATCCTAAACTTTCCACTAGCGGAACTCTAATCATCTATCGTCGTTCCATCTTAAACTTATTTCTGCATTCCATTCCATTTCTTATTTTCGATTTCCATAGAAAAGTACTCTTGATCTTCCATCTTTCATCTTTCATCCTCCATTTTCCATCTTTCACAAAAGCAAGCTCGCGAAATGTGATTGTATTCAAGAAAGCAACGTCTTACTTTTCATGAATATACGTGATGTGATGTGATGTGATGTGATAGATAGATAGTAAGATTATCTAGGTAGTTAAAATGCAGTCGGTAGGTAATC